CACTGGTTCTCCTGCTGTGCCCATAATGCACCGACACACCATGGGTACTTAAAGGATAGTCAGAGACCTCTTTGCTCTTTGCTCTACTTTACTATCACGGCGTATTCAGCGAATACTCAAGAGATCTCTTTGCCTTCAGGTCCGCCCTTACGAGGCTCAGCGCGTACGTGACGAGGGGGATGGAGGGCGCTTTCGAGAGACATGGGCGTCGGGTTGCTGCAAACGCCCACACCACCGCCGCCCTGTGCATGGTGTTCTCCGCCCTCTGCTCCCTCGGCAGTTTCTACTTCGTGACTGAACTTCGGCCGTACAGTCTCTGGCTCCCGCAGGACTCCGAGTTCATCAAGGTAAGGGCGACGGCTTTCGTGAAGTGGGACGGCGGAAGAATAAAACTTTTTATGCTGTTTATTTGTGTGTGTGTGCATAGTTACAGAAATGGGTGTATACATGTATACCTCAGCATAATTATTAAAGGCAGCTTCTCTACGTCATTTCCAGGTTCTGAACTGGCAAAGCAAGAACTTCCCAAACACATACCGTCGTCACGTAGCCTTCTGGGAGGCCGATAACATCCTGACGGCGCGAGTGATCCAGGAGATGTGGCGCCTTCACGTCCGCGTCGCCGACATCGCCGTGGGTCCCAACGGCACGTCGTGGGACAACCTTTGCGTGCGTGTCCCCTCCCTCCCGACGCAGGAGTACCTGGAGGAGGATTACGGGGACTACGAGTACGGGGTGCTCGCGCGTCGACGCCGAGACAACGGCCATTTCCTCGACTACGACATGAGCCTGAGCATGTCGCGCGAGGACTACTGCGCCACGATGGACAGCCTGCCGAAAGTCTGCCTTGAAACGAGCCTCCTGGAGGTGTGGGGCTTGGACGAGGAGCGTATCATGAGCCTCACCGACGAACAGGTCCTGGAGGACATTAACTCCAAGCAGATCAGTGAGGTGTTCGGCTACGGCGTGAACTTCACCAAATACCTGGGCAGCATCTCGTACGACGAGGAGGGCAGGGTCGTCTCCGCGGGCGGCGCCATCCACGCGTGGGTGACCACCGTAGACCAGGAGGACGTGGTCCTTGGCAACGTCGTCGTGGACCAGGGGAATGGCGAGCTGGTGGATGCCAACGGCTTCGCCTGGGAGGACAGGTGGGTCAACACGGTCCTGAACGACTCCTCTCGCCCGAAGGACATCCGCGCCTACGCCCAGTCGGCCAGCAGCTTCGGCAAAGTGAGTGACGAGAACATCTGGGGCGACGTGAAGTGGCTTGTGTTGGGCTTCTCTCTCATGTGCATGTTCGTCAACATGACGCTCGGCCGGAGGAACCTCGTGCAGCAAAGGCCAATGCTGGCCTTCATGGGCATGGTGAGTGTGGCGCAAGCCATAGCAGTGTCCTATGGCCTGTGTTCGTTGATGGGCATTCCCTACTGCCCTGTGAATTCCATCTTGCCCATCCTCCTTATTGGACTCGGTGTGGACGACATGTTCGTCATCATGGCAGCGTGGGAGTCGGTGGGTCGGAAGAAGGGCGTCACGACGCTGACGGAGCGCGCAGGAGTCTCCATGCGCCACGCCGGCGTCGCCATAACGGTTACTTCTCTCACCGATGTCACCGCTTTCGCCGTGGGAGCTACAACTGACCTGCCCGCCCTTCGATCTTTCTGCATTTATGCGGCTGTAGGCATATTTGCTGTATATGTCCTTCAGTCTACGTTCTTCTTGGCTTGGCTGGTACGAGACGAGAGGAGGATGGAAGAAAACAAAAATGGATTCTTTTGGTGCATCACTCACAAGGACTGGAAACCCTGGGCATGCAGCAAGCGCGACCTACTTTCAGACATATTCAAGCATGGCTTCTGTCCGTTTATTCTCTCGGCGCCCATGAGAGCTATCATCCTGCTCGGCACGGGTGCCCTCGCAGCTTCCTCCATCTGGTCGACCATGAACTTGCGCAAAGAATTCAACGCCAAGTGGTTCATTCCTAAGACTTCTTACCTTCATGAAACTTTTGAAGTTGCGGGGAAACACTTTCCGGAAGCTGGCCAAGCTGGATATTTGTACTTTTCTAATGTTTCCTTGCCAGGAGATCTCCCAGCACTCAATAGAATGATAAAAGACCTCAAGGATACTGAAGTGATACAGTCTATTGACCCTTGGTTCTCAGCTCTCGACCGATACATAGCTCAGAAACCAGAACTAACTAACTCGACTTTAGATTATGCTCTACTACAAGACACGCTCTCGATTTTCCTCCAGTCGTCTTCAGGGGCTTCGTATAGGAGTGACTTTAAGGTAAACGGAAATCTTGACTGCCGTGCTCCTGCTCCACCGGTCACGTCCTTCAGGATATCTTTCATGCATCTACCTACGGAGAGTTCTCAAGAGGAGTCCCACGCACTGCAGGCCGTCAAGTCAGTCATTGCATCAGTGCCAATCCAAGGCTTCAAAGCTGCGTGGGCACAAGCCTACAGTATCTGGGAGACCAACGAGGTGGTAGGCCATGAGCTATGGAGGAATATGATACTGGCAGCAGTAGTGGTAGGTGTGGTTACCCTCATCTTGCTGGCGTCCTTCTGGTCTGCAATGCTCGTGCTGGCGTGCGTGGCAGCCACTGTGGTCGGGGTTTCCGGCACAATGGCGATCTGGGGGCTGACAGTCGACACAGTGTCCTGCATTGCTTTGGTGTTGGCCATCGGTCTCAGCGTCGACTACGCAGCCCACATCTCCCATGCGTTTCTGGCGATCCGTGACGTCAAGGACAAGAAGGAAAGGGCGAGAGCTGCCCTCGAAGGAGTCGGTCCTGCTGTCTTACAAGGAGGCTTCTCCACGCTTTTATCTTTCATCCTTCTTGCCGGATCGTCTTCTCACGTGTTCATAACTTTCTTCAAGGTGTTCACAGCAGCGTCTGTCCTTGGGCTTTACTACGGCCTTGTGTTCCTCCCTGTAATCCTGTCGTTCGTTGGCCCAGACCCTTATGAGGACTTAGAAGAAGACGACTTCGCTACAACTCAACCACAACACGACATCGCTTATACAAATGATGCCTTTACTCCTGATCCCGACACAGAAAGCAAAATCGTTACACAGTTTTAATGCCTGGAATACTGGCTAATCGTGCGTTTGATGAAAAATTACTAAACTTAATCAGGACTGTGATAGTGTGTTTGGTAAAAGGATTTGCCACTTGAAAACTACGTACCGCATTAAAGAGGCAGCAGCACACCAAATATACCTAAGGGTAAAACATAGCAACCGTTTTTTTTTTTTGGTAGGAATAGACAAAAAAAAGGATATCAGTTCAGGTTGTCATTTCTACATATGTCGCAATCATTCTCTTAAAACGCTTTTATAAATGAGGAGACGCAGCATTTTATACACTGTACATAATATATATTGCACATGTACATACTGTACTTTGCTACCTCAACATAGCCTTCTCGTGGCAGAAGAAATACCAAATGTCACCATTTTTTGTATATATATATTCATTATATTTGTTTTACAATCATTAACAAAAAATCTGCTGTATCATAATATCATTTATAATTAAAGATGACACGTAACTGAACTGTGTCAGCATTTACATCTTTTATTTTTTGTTCATGTGGGTAGCTTTATCTATCACTGTTTTTGGTACCTTATTAGGCAAGAGGCATTATGTACATAGTCAAGACGGAAGGCAAGTGCAATAAAAAAAAAAAAATCCGGAACAAAGAACATGGTTTATAAGTAATTATTCTTTCGGGTTTCGGATTTTAGAATTTTTTTCCAGTGAGTGGAAACATGCTTTAATATTCATCTTGCCTTCTATTCAGTATCTGTCTTATGAAAGTGTAGGTATCAAATACTCTTTCTTGTTTTCTTTTCACTTATTTTCCTAGTACCTGTATTAAAACTTATATTGTACTTATATTGTTAATCAAAATTTATCGGAAGACAAAGGAAATTTATGGTGCAGTATTGTTCATATTCATAGAATGTACGTATTTTTTAAAAGTATAATGTCAATAAATGTTTTTTTTTTAATAATGTTTTCTTATATATTGTATACCTTTAGCCATTATTACCTCACTGCATTTAAATACATATGGCATACATACAGACACACATATTCACGCATTCACGCATTCACGCACGGACTCACACACACACACATGTACACACAAACACACACATGCACACACACACACACACATGCACACACACACACACATGCACACGCACACGCACACGCACACGCACACGCACGCAGACACACACACACAGACACATACACACACACACACACACACACACACACACACACACACACACACACACACACACACACACACACGTTTGTTCCTAAATGACACCAAATGAAACAAATACCTAATGATTAATAATGAACATTAATGCTCTTAATGAACCATATACTTGTGTGAATAGATAAGTTGATAAATCAAGAATGAAAAAACAGTTAGAAAAGAAGCTAATAATTCAATTTACGAGAAAGCAGTTTTATTTTTTTTTGTATTTTTTTTTTTGCTTACTCACCCCGTTTCTAGATTATGAGAAAGCACATAAGAACAAACAAAATAATATGCATGTGTATCTTCTAAAAATCGTTAAAGCACATAAGAGATTGATATGGAAAAGAAAAAGAAATATGTGGCAAATAATTCAAAACTTGGGGGTTTACTAATCAATAAAAAAAAAAGTTGTTAATCAAAGTAATCAATAGATAGATAAATAAAGGTTTGAAATATTCACTAAAATAAGTTTAAGGAACTGGAAGTCTTAACGTTGAATATTAACATCAATTCCTGAAAGTTAGATATAACAAATCAAATATTTACATCTTTGACTAACAAGTTAAAAGAAAGAAAGAAAGAAATGAAAAAAGAAAGAAGAAGAAGAAGTAGAAGAAAAAAGACAAACGTATACCATTCTCGTAAAATAATAAACAGCTCTAACAATTTCTATCATGAGCAGCATTTACAATCTAGAGAGCTTGCATGTGCACACAGGAGGGATGTGCCTGAGCCTCAACCTTCAGTCTACTTCATACCAACATTTAAAAGCAGAGGTATAAAAAGTGCTCATTTTCACCTGAGCACTTTGAATGTCTGTGCATGTCAGTGCTAAAGAGTAAGCAATGACTTCACTGTAATAATAAACAAAAGTAGATATTTTGAAATTTATTATAAAAAAAATGTTACATTATTCATTAGATCAGCTGTGCAGATATTTTTGGTTCATGGGTAAAATTCATTTTGCAAATCCAGCTGCATTGTCATTATCACACAAAAATGAATACAAAATTTACATAAAAACAATTTTTACACCAAGAAAAAAAGAAAAAAAGAGAAAAAAAAAAAGGAATATGAAAAGAACTACAGTGAACTACTGAGTAACTCTTATTAAAGTACGATCTGTGTTTCTTTAAGTATCACTTCCCTTTTATATAGCAGCCTCAAAAACATTTTTTTACTGAATAATATACACAATATATCACTGGGTATGTTTCCTATAGCAGCTACACTATATTCCTTGACTTAAATGAAAATCAACATGTGTATATAGAATAAAACATTTTTATATACAAACTTATACATATACATATGGTTGTTTTATACAAAATCAAATGTAAAATTAGAAATATCATATCCTTAACAGTGCAGTCTTATAAATCAGACACACATATGCACTCATACCCATGTGCTTGCATGCATGCATACACACATAAAAGGCTTAATTTAGTTCATATTGCAGAAGTAAGCATATCATTAATGAAGACTATATAAGAAGTTCATAACACTGAAATGCTTAGCACTGCTACCTATCAAAATTATTATATTCCCTTGATTTACCCAAACTGTAGGATCACCATGGTTTGTATTGCATTATACCTGTGCTAGTTTTGACCCGACATATATTGAAAATTATATATTTCACATAAACTACAATGAAGGCTTACATTTAAAATCGAGTTATAATTTAGACATTTACCTATGAAGGAATAAGGGGTAGAAGACGAAAAAAAAGTACAGAAGCATATCTGATCCAATTCCTTATTATCACAGTCAATTTCCCTACCATCTGTGACCCATTCATGAGTATATGACAGTACACATCAAATCATTGTCAACATCTTTTGAGAGTTTGTACTCCTTTGTCTTTAAATGATTCATAGAGTTTTTAACATTATAAAAATATATTTATATATTGCAGCAATATTACTAGTAATGAACATAATTTCAATAAGGATGCTAATAACATGAGCCAAAATTAGTAATGAATGAATCCTTTTCCATGATTCTTTGCTTTACGGAACTGTTAACTTAGTTTAAAATACTAACAACACATAAAATAACAGAATCCATTATTCCTTCTAAATATGAAGTGAGTTCCTGTTCTATCCAGAAAGACCTTAAAAAAGTTCATTTAAGAATAAAAGTGAGTGTCAAACTATCTGAAGCTGAAAATAGTTGGACCAGATGATGTAGTCAACAGGTTATTCCAAAGTGATTGTTCCACGTCTTTCAATTTTCTAGCATGATAACCAAATTCACAATTAAAACTAATTAGCTCCTCTCAGGGGTTACATCTAATAGCATGTAAATAATACTGTACAGCAGGTACTCTTTCGTCAACATGACAGTATAAAGTAACATTTTGTGGTACAACCCTTGATGTCACATGAGGTATGAAATATTTAGTCAAATAATTGAATTTAAACACCAAAGTCAATGAAAATGAAGCTGACTACATCATCTTCCTCACCTCCTCAAGAAACGCTGGTACCAAAATGTGTACTTCAGTTATCATAGTCTACTTAAGCAAAACGTTTCTTTCATTAAAAATCTGATGAAAAACTGGTATTAAACAGTGACTAACTAGCTAATAACCAGCAAAAAGATGGTGAGTGATCATTTGTAAGTGTAAATGGTCAGTGTTTCCTACTGCCTTTCTTACTTTACTTGTTACTTGTTTAACAATAACGTTTTTGTATCATTTTCAGTGTCACTACATACTACTTTTCCAAAGCTTTAGTTCAAAAAGGTTCTGCATTATTCTTCAATCTGCTAAATAATGTTCGAGATGAATAGAATGATATCCATTAAATGGTATAGATTTGATTCACCAAGTCTCTTTCCTTAATAAAAAAAGTAGAAAATAATCAGACATAATCAATAAGTGTCATCTTATTAAAGTCATATTGCAAAAGTCATTGTAAACATAATCTCTCAAATCACCACAGCAAAGGCTCTCACATCAAAGAAAAGGTGATACAAACACAGTATCATCTTCATCTCCTTTTTCTAATGAATTTCTTTGCTTCTTTCAACATTCTACTCGTGTTGTCCTCTTCCTCTGCATCCTCAATTGGGGAGTCCGAGTCTGAGTCCGTTGGTGCGTAGTCATCCGAGCTCTCGTCATTCAGGAAGGGGTCATCGTAGTCATACTCATCTTCGGAGTCGCTTCCCCCATCTGCCTTCTTTTTTTGTGCTGAAAGAATAACGGATTTATCAGGACTATTTCCATTAGCATAACATTCATATCATGATTTATTGATAAAAACAAATCTAGAATATACTCAAGCATTATTTCATTTAACAAAAGGCTGAACAAATAAAACTAATAATATCAACACCATAACCCAATAAAGACAATCCATAATTATGAAGGAATAAACAATACCCTGAAAAAGTATACAAACAAATCCAATACAATGACATTTTGTATCTAACCTCTGTGCTTAGCTCTTCTCTTGGGCTGTGGAACCCTGCTATGGCGATATTCTTTGCGGTGTTTTTTATTTGTACGGTAACAGTCAACTCCATACTCGCACTGAGGACGATCGTCATCTGGGTCTTCTGATGCTGATTCTTCTTCCTGGTAATCTGAGTCTCCAATGTGAGCAAACTGTGCCCTGTGGCTAGGGTTCTTCCTGCAAAGAAAAAAAGACAATCATATACTCATATTATCAGCTCTAAAGAATGGAGCGAGAAGACAATGGCAATAAGAGAAAATATGGAAGCAAAACGATGTGATAAGGCCATTGAAACAAGTAAAGGAAGGTATCAAAATGTTCAGGGTGAAAAAATTTATTAAATCATGGAAAACATGAGGATAGTCACCTTAATATTTTGCACAAGAGAGTGCACATGCTCAGTTGATGGATACTCCTCTTAAAAAATACAAGAAACTTACAAAAATAATATGGTAATAAACTGCAACATTTTGAGCTAAACTAAACTGAAAATGAGATGAAATGGTTCCATGTGTTTATGTACCTCTTAAATTATTGACAGACAAAATAAAAGCATCAGAAATCCTGTTTGTAATGCAAGCCTTGTCCAACAATTACTGCAATGGCTAACAATCTATTTAGTCCAAAACATGAAAAGAGTTATATTGCTTAAATGGCTCAGAGTTAATATAAGTAAAGTAAAAGTATAAGTTCAGGAAGAAAGAGTTGTTTCAATAAGCGTACCTATAACAGTTAGACCCATACTGGCATGACCTTCTGGCACGTTTCTTTCTTTTGACGGGTGATGGCGTAGCTGCAGCTGCTTTTCTTCTATTTGCAGTAGATGTCCCTTGTGTCTCCTCATCTGATTCCAACTGTTTACTTGGGGCTTTATTCTTGTTAGTAGGACTTTTGTTTTCCTTTTTAGCAACATTACTGGATTGTTCTATGTCTTCATCACTACTCTCATCACTCATATCGTGGAGACTTTTGCCGGCATTCTTTAAAGGAGATTTCTTGGCTGCCGGACTCTTTCTGGGACTGGGGGTCTGCTTTATGCCTTTCCTTGGGGTGCTCTGCTTGGTCCTCTTCTGTTGATTGCTCTGGCCTTCATCACCACTTTCGTCACTCACATCATGGAGCTTTGACAGCTTTGGTTTGGCAGGTGATTTTGCTTTCTGTTTTGGAGTGGTATCTTCATCACCCACAGCTTGTCTTTTAACCTAGAGAAATAATGCAGTAGACAATATACATATCAATCTTATTTTCTACAGAAAAACAACAAAAAACAAAAACAAAATAAAATTAATAATTTAATCATAACAGAATCAATCAGATGAGCAAGAAATCAATGTACCTTTGATGGTGTATCTTCAGAAGCATCAGGTTGTTTGCGCTTTGCATTAGTTGTGCGCTTCTTGTCACCTCCATGTGTACTCTTTGCAGTCTGGGCACTCTCCTTTTCCTCTGGTTTCTTTGTGCTGGCCTTTAATAACCACGAGGGTAGATTCCTCTTTCTTGGAGACACTGCTGCCTGTATGTCCTTGAAAAAAGAAAAAGAAAATGATTGTCTTGGGGAGAAAAACAAAAGTCCCTGAGCTTCATACAGTCTATGTAAATTTAAGAAATATTCTAAAGGTATGAAAATTACCTGAGCTAATTTTTCTTGTGGAGAGGCATCTTCTGAACCATTTGAATCTTTGAGATCTGAGCAGCCGTTTTGGACATCCTTGGATTTTTTTTCCACTGTTTCTGCCGCTTCCTTTTCTTCGTCTTTATTGCTTTTCTCTACCTCATCCTCTTCCTCCTTCTCTTTTGCAACATTATTTTCCACATTGTTATTGATTCCATTGCTTTCCTCTGCCTTTGAACTGGACTCAGCTGCTTCATCTTGACCATTTTCTACAATGTCTTTACTCTGGCCTGCTACCTCTTCCTCATCGACGTCCTTGCTCGTGTTCTTGCTTGCTGTTGCGGCACTGGGGGACTTGTCTGTCTCTGCATTGGCACTGCTGAGATTAAGCCTGTTTGTGTGAGGTAGTAAACATGAACAATCACTTTCCAGACCTTTGGATGCTATAATTATAACTGTAGATATTTCTGATATTCTATGAGCAATTGTGACAAAATAGTGAATGTTTTAGTTATGAAAAGAATGATGTAGAGCAAAATTTTACTAATTTATAATTAAAAAAGATGCTATATGTATACTTTAGCATTTCTGCTGTATACAATTAGAAATTAAGACAAAAGAACATAAATCAATTGTATCAAAATCCATATTTTGAAGCACAAAGCCGCACCAGATTGCAAGTTACACGAACCTTTGCTTAACCCAATGACCACAGGTTTTTGTACTGTTCCCTGTACTTTTTTGTCAATTTTGCTACATACAGATGGCTCCACATGTGCTCAGCCACCGTGGAGTCTACCAGTAGGCCCTAATGACAACGCCTGATTTCCCTATATCCTGAATTTGCGGTGAAATGTATTTTTTTTCTAATACTATTAATAATGATATTGCTATTAATATTATTAATTTTATGATTATTAAATTGTTATTAAAATATTTATAACATTAAAAACAATAAATTAAACAAATGAAGCTTTAAAAAATCAAGGAAAAGGATAAACAGGTGAGAAAGGTAAGACTTATAACAGACTCCTTGATAACTATGCACTTATAGAGCCATCTATGTGTAAAGCCAATAGATGAACTTTTAATAGATTCGGCATGGCAGTGTAGTCTTGCCATCCGTGCTAATTGGGCAAAGCAAAGGATGATACATATTCGTCTATTGTGAATATTTTAATTATTTTCAGTATGTATTTCTTTCTTTTTTCTTCTTCACTCAACAAACAGTCTGTACTAACCTGAACCAAAAGCCATTCTGCATAAGCCCAAACTGGTCTCCGTGTGAAAGCTGGGCAGAATCGCCATTCGTCAACTGCTTCTCTTCACCTCCAACTAACACATAGGTTGGGTTCTGATGTGTCTGTAGTTTTGGTAAATTAAGAATGGCTATTGAACATATCATCTACTGCTATTAGTATAATCATCATCAATATGAGTATAAATATAATAATTTCCTTTACGATCATATTAGAAATAGTTATCATCATTCACAATCGATTACTTTTTCATGCTTCAAATTCAAATCTGCAAACCAATTAACCCAAACCCGATGGGCATGGCATATAAATACATAACATACCCACTTTGAGTTTACTTTATTCATTGTTTTTACACACAGATGGCCACACTTGTACTAAGTCACCAATGAGCCAGTTACGAGTACTGTTTGTCTTGCCTCTTTACGCTTTTCCTTGATTTACAAAAATGTTTTACATTATCTTATTTTGCTGTTACTAATGTTTAAAACATTATAGTAATTATAATGCCTATAATAAAAATAGCACCACTGATATTCATAGTATTAGTAAAAAAATGTTATTCCCACTAATTCAAGGAAAGGTGAAATCAGGTAAGGTCACAGGGTCTACTAACTGACTCTTCTGTGGCTAAGCACTAGCAGAGCCATCTATGTACAGAGTCATTTCACACACACACACACAAAAAAAAGAGAGAGAGAGAGAGAGAGAGAGAGAGAGAGAGAGAGAGAGAGAGAGAGAGAGAGAGAGAGACAGAGAGAGAGAGAGAGAGAGAGAGAAAGAGAGAGAGAGAGAGAGAGAGAGAGAGAGAGAGAGAGAGAGAGAGAGAGAGAGAGAGAGAGAAAGAGAGAGAGAGAGAGAGAGAGAGAGAGAGAGAGAGAGAGAGAGAGAGAGAGAGAGAGAGAGAGCACAGCATTTTCCCGGCACATTGGGTTAACAGGAAAGACATCTCTTTCTTATCTGTAAGTAATGCACACTGAGTCCAACTTACTGAGGTTAGTAGAAGATCATCATCATCCCAGTCAAGGCATGCATGGCGTCTTGACAACTTTCTCTCGCCACACTGAAAATATATAAAATTTACAATCATTAGACAGATAAGATAACAAAATAGTAAGAGATATGTTTTACATATTAGAAGATAACAAAATGCATAGAGAAATTTTTTTATTCGTAAAACTTGGACTAACCCAACTGTAACCATAAATGAAGGTATGTGTCTAAAGGCGTTCCAAGACTAATGTGTATACTAAAATTTTCATTAACTTAATCTTTCCTTCATAAAATACGCATCAACATGTTTATGTTAATGCAATATGTGTCATGATTACAGTGGATGAATATGAACAAATTAATGCTTGTGTTACAGTGGGGAGGTTAACCCACTGTTGCTGGGAAAACATAGTGTTCACAGTAGCACTGGGTTTTTTCAAATGTCTCTGCACATATATAGCTTCACAAGCACTTGTTCTCAAAGGAGTCAATGACTTCACTGATTTCACCTTTCTTGAGTTTGTGGTATTTTTTTCTATTTTTTTTTTTTCTCTACTACTAATGCTCTCAACATTAATGCTGTCATTATTATTATTATTATAGACATTATAATTATTTTAGTGTTATTGACATTACTGACAGTAATATAAGATGCCAGAGATATATCCAAAAATCAAGGAAAAGGGTATACTTGTGATGCTTGTAATTGGCTCACTGGTGCCTTAGTGTCTTGTCATTACCAGTGACACAGGGTTAACCCAATGATGCCGGGAAAATGCTGTGCTCATTTTTATTATTATTATTATTATTATTATTATTATTTTTTTTTTTTTAAATGTCTCTGCACATAGATGGCTCTGCTAGTGCTTAGCCAAAAAGGAATCAATTAGCAGACCTTGTGACCGTACCTGATTGCACCATTCCTTGAATTTTTTTTTTTTTACTAATGTATTGAATATCTATGGTGTTATTTTTGTTTTAGACTTTATAATTACTATAATATCATAAATATTAGTAGTAGCAAAATATGATATAAGTAAAATATTTTTGAAGATCAAGGAAAAGGGTTAACAGGCGAGACAGGCAGTACTTGTAATTGGCTCATTGGTGACTTAGTACAAGTGTAGCCATCTATGTATAAAAACAATGAATAAAGTAAATTCCCAGTGGGCATGATATGTACATACATGCCATGCCCATTAGATTTGGGTTAAATCAACAAAACAATTTTTAGTAAATGGATTGTTGGGCAATGGTCTGAGACAACTTTCAATATGCAAATCCTCATATAATAGAATACAAATATCAATCCCAATATAACAGTAAAATTTACCTTCAATAAAGATCCTCTCCCTAGTATAGCTGGAAGAGTCAACGGAATCTTGAAGTTACTCAGTTTAATAATTCTGTCATCCTCGCCCGGGCCAGCTACTCGAACTAGAGTGACACTCATGCTGGCTAGGAGTTTCTGAGGACAAAATGCAAAATTAAATATTATGAAAGGAATTGGTATTCTAATATCAACATTCTTGTTAGCAATATTTGTATAATACTATAAATTACAATTAAGCAACCCTTTTGTTGAAGGTTTGGTTTAACAAGCATATCAGCAATACTCCATCGAGAATAATATATACATTTTGCCTGTACTGGGCTGTAAAGGGTTACAAAAGATCAGGGTAGAAAATATGAAGTCTGAAAAGAATAAAAACAAATATAAAATAGATAATGTATTTAATATATTTTGTTTGAAACCACATTACATATCTATCTATATACTGTATATGGAGATGTGAAGTCTTGCTCGCACTTTTAAACATAAGAATTGTCCTACAATTTTGAATTTACATACTGAGTACCTATTAGCCAACAGCAACTGCTAGGAAAATAGCAGCACCTCTTGTAGATTTGGTCATAAAAATTAGTGTTGAAACTGCGAATAAGTCTGCACTTTATGAGACATTTTATAATCTATAGGTAAAAAATGATATAGGACGTGTAAGTGTTACTCACTTTACTCTCAATGATTGTAAAATATAATTTTCTCTGACACCTGACATGTGATTTTGACCATTTTCTATATTTATTAGGGTCCAATAAAAGGAAAAACATGAGTGATAGCAGTGATTCTCCCCCACCAGTCCCCAAATGAAGGAGGACTCACAAATTACGTCAGATGATTGTTTACTTTTCAGTGATTTCATGCTGGCATAAACAAACAAACAAATAAACAAAAGAGTGCGGATGTAAAGGAAAATCCCGTGTGTGCCCGTTCTCCACACCAGTCAGCACTCCGACAAAGACCAAGAAAACATTGCGATGTATATTCTTGCAATACAGAGCTCCGATGGTGATTAATCATCAAATAAAGGTGCTGTCTAAACTATATCTTGCCAAATTATATGTGTTGGAAGTTTGGTTGTTGCTGCAAGAGGCTATGGCACTGTAACATGATGGCACTGGATTTCAAAAAGCAATCCATCCATCGCCAATCACAGGAAATTAGAAGTGGAATGGTATTAAACTTTCAATGATTCCATTTTGTTGGCCATTGTTGGTGTCTTCTAAATATCTACCGGGAAAAGTTTAGGCATAGTTATCAATATTCAAATTTTACTTAAAAAAAAAAAAAGTATAAGCAGGCCTATTCTTGCCATGACAGTCTGCCTACCCAGCATGCCTACTGATGCCTCTGTCTCTTGGATATTAACTTAATTTTCCAACCTCTTCACTAGCTTGACTTTTAAACAAATATATGAAAATGCATAAATTGCCAGAAAATAGACAGATTCTTCTACATTCATATGAACATATTGTGTGGCAGTGAAATGACCTCAGTATGTCCTGGAAAATGACCAAAGCCTATAAGAAATAAGCCTAAAAGAGCGAACCTCTGCACTGCATCTGAAAAAAAAGCTAAAATCTTCACTTTATTCCAGAAAGAATTCCAGTCTCAAGGTCACATGTGGTGTGCTTGAACATAGGAGAAACACATCAACTACAAGCTTCAGTATTCTCAATATAATAAGACTAATAGGTGCATTATAATCGACTTACAATTCTAAAATTCACAAACTGAAAAACAAACAAACAAACAAAAAATAATAATTGTCGCTAGGGATCATCATTCACATTTTCTCTCATTCACTTAATGCAATAATCACCTTATCTCAGAGAATCAGCTGATACGTCTCCTCTCATCCACTTCTCCCTCGATACTAACTCGCTTCAGGAACTCGAAAGTCCTGTTATCTTCCACGTACTTATCCTCCTTACTATTTATTATCTTCTTCCTTATTTCTCGTATCAACATGTATAGGAGGCGTAGCTTGGCACGTCGCGTTCACTCAGAACACGCCCTCTTTCGATGACGTCAC